CAGGCAGGGTGGCTCTTGGGGACAGCACAACCTGGGGACCCTCCTGGCTTCCTTGGGCCACCTCTCCGGGTGCCAGATGGGTTTGTGGGATGGGAAGAGCCACAATGAGGGCTGTGGGGTGCCTGAAGCGTTCCTGCACCAGCCATGCTCCCTCTCCACCCAGCCAAGCCCAGGATCAGCGTGAACGGATCGCAGGCGGCAGACCCCGTAACCGTCCTGGCTGTGCGTGGGCAGGAGACCACCCTGCCCTGCGAGGTCCAGGGCCATCCCCCTCCCTTGGTGGTGTGGACCCAGGAGTCCCGGCCGCTGCCTCTTGCCTCTGACAGGTAGGGAGTTTGTGGGTGCTGGTGTCATGCTCTCTTGGTGTTATATCCTGCCCCGGAGGGATGTCAGGTCTGTGAAGGACAGAGCGGTTGGGAATGCAAAGAGCATCCTGGTGCGGAGCAGCTGATGCTTAAAGCTCTGGCAGAAGCCAGGGGAGCTGAGCGGTATGGCATCGGTGCTGCTCTCCAAGGAGAGCAGAGCAAGAACCCCCAGGTTTTTTTTCCATCATACAAACATCTGCTGGGATGGAGCAGCTGCTCTTGACCCTTTGTGTGCCCGCCCTGGACACGGGGCTGAGGAAGGGACGGCAGCTCCCCTGCAGCTCGCCCAAACGCCTTCGTGCACATTCCTGTCTCGTGTCATCACGCTGCTGGAGGTGGTGAGGCCAAGGACGTGCCTGGGGATGGCGGATCTCTGCGGGAGGTGTTGGACCAGGGCTTGATGCTGCAGGGCACTGAGGAGTGGTTTTGAGGTCTGGAGGAGGAGAGCAGTGTAGAGGGGAGGATGGGCAGGTGGGGAGGTTGGGGGTGCTGCAGCCTCCGTTGCCCATCACAGCCCGCATGTTGGGGTGACTTCATGGGGTTTAGATGTCGAAATGCTCCTGGGCACTGGCCAAGGTTTGGCAGAAACACAGCAGTGAGCCTGGCGGTGGCTTTGTCTGTGCTGGGACAAGGTTTGAAGGCCAGTTCTGCTCCGGTGGGTGACCTCTGGAGGGACAAATTCACTTGGTGATGGTGTTGAGGCTGACGGCAGCGATGGGAAAGTCGTTTAATGCCATTTGATGGGAGAAGACAACCTGGAGGGCATTTGGATGTGTGTTTATTGTCCTGGTCTTCCCCCTTGGAAGCACGATCTGGTTTTTCCGCATGTTAGCACTGTGCTGGAAGGGGCTGCCTAAGATCATGGGCCTTGATCTTGAGGTCTATCACTTCTTTCTCTGCACCTGGGGGTTGCTGTGGCCTGGGGAAGCAAGGAAGGCATTTTGGTTTCACTCTTCTTGAGGGACTCTGTTGCCCTGTCTTTCCCATCTGGTTTCCCGCGGCTGATCCCCATCGCCCTGTGCCGCTCCCCACATCTCCGCTGGCTTGTCCTTGTGTCTCCGGTTGATTTATGGGAGCTCACGGGGAGGAATCTGAGCTGTGGGCTGAGATGATGTTATGTCTGTGGAGCACAGGCTGTGCTGGGAGCCAGAGCACGGCCAGCTCCAGCTGCAGGGGCTGTGCTCCACAGGGACCCCCAGCCCCCTTCGTCCCCGGGGTGGGTGGCTCGTGCTGCTGTCTCGTGCTGAGCTGAGCAAAGGGGTTTTGCACCCGTGGGCAGCTCTGCCACCCTCCTCGTGCTGGAGGTGGCCCTGGGGAGCTTCTCTTGGCTGTCTCAAGGCCATGGGGAGCTTTCAGCCCTTAGCTCCTGCCCAGGTGTAGGTGACGGAGGGCATGGTTGTTCCTCCCATCCAGCTTTCCTGTTCCCCCAAGGTACAGCATCCTCCCTTCGGGGTCCCTCCGGCTGGCCAAGCCCCAGGTGACAGACACTGGCCTTTACACCTGCACAGCCACCAACGCCGTGGGGAGTGCCTCGCTCAGCTACAGCCTGCGAGTCCAAGGTTCACATCTGATGGTTAAAATGCTTTTCCCATGGGCTGTGGGTCTTAACGTACCACTGGCGTCCTGCACCCTCCAAGTCCCTGGCTGCTCCCACTTCCCCATGCCAGGGTCGGAGGGTGGTCCCAGCCCAAGGTCCCCTTTCCCCCCAGTTCCCCCCAAGTTGCTGATCGGTGATGGGGAAAGCCACCTGACGGCTGTCGCCAACGACTCCCTGAGGATCCGCTGTCGTGCCACTGGCATCCCCGCACCCCAGATCCAGTGAGTACTGCCGAGTAGGGGGTTCTGCCCATGTCCCCCTGAGTTCCCTTGGTGGGTGTAACTCCCCCTGGGGGGGGGGCTCCGCAGCCCAGTGTGCAAAGCTGTGGCAGAGATCGGGGTGGGGACTTGGGAGGGGTGATGGAGACCCCAGCTTGGGGTGCCCCTTAGGATGGGAAGCGTGAGTCCTGCTCGTTGTTCCTGGGATTCTGCTCTCCCTGGGCATTGCCAGCCTGTTTCCAGGTGACAAGGGGACAGTCCTCGCTGCCAGCACCCCACTGTTCACTCCTTCACTGGGCAGAAATGGGAAGTAGGGGGGAGTGGGACAGATGATGGAATTGTCACCTGCCCCCATCCTTGTAGGTGGCTGAAGGACGGGCACCCGCTGGGCAAACGGGACAGTGTGGTGGTGTCCAAGGATGGAGGGACTCTGCTGATCACTCGTGTGGAGCTTGTCCACGAAGGGCTCTATGTCTGCCAGGGCAGCAACCAGGCAGGGGTGGCCCAGGCAGAGGTGCAGGTTTCGGTGCAAGGTCAGTGCAGCATCTGGGACAAGACCTCCTATCCACCCCACGTGTCAGGGAGGACACGGCTGGTCAAAGGAATGGGTGTTCTTGGCCCCGTTTTTTGGGAGGTGTAGGGTCACTACCTTGATCCTTTGGGATCTTGCCCTTGGCCAGTCTCAACCTGAGAGGCGATGGCCACCGACACCGCAGTAAATCATAGCATCCATCCTTGATGGGTGCTTCCCGGTGGAGGGTCTGCTCCCAGCCCCTCTGGCCAGAGGCCCCCTCGGTCACCATGGCAGGATGTTGGGTAAGAAAGCAGACAGGGAGTGGAGACCCCTCCTCCAGGAATGATGACTATCTCATCCAGCGGGCAACAAATCTGCTGGGTGACTTGGGGAGCAGCAGTGGCACCGCATGGTGATGCGGTCCCCTCTGGAGAGGCCAACCTTGGCCACTGCTCTCCCAGGACCATCTAACACGTGCCCAGAGCCCCTGGAGCGTCCAGCCGAGCCCCTGGGCACTGCGCTGGGTGGCTGCAGCTGGCTTGGGCTGCGTGGAGCTGATGGCCACGTGCGCTGGGTTGCAGTGCCTCCCAACATCGAACCCAGCGCTGTGGACCTGGCCGTCCTGGAGAACAGCACGGTGTCCCTGGAGTGCCTGGCCTCAGGGCTGCCTGCTCCTGGTGAGCCTGTCCTCTCCCTTGGCTCTCCCCCAGCGTCCCTGAGGCTTTCCCTGGGTCCCCTCACTGACCGGGGTGGCAGCATTGCTCCTTACAGCTCAGCTCCCTGCTTCCCTCCAGACATCGCGTGGTACAAGGGGCATGAGAAGCTCTCGGCTGGGATGCAGCGAACCCTGTCGAGGGATGGGAAGCACCTGGAGATCCAGCATGCCCAGCTCTCCGATGCTGGCAGCTACCGCTGTGTGGCCTCCAACGTGGCTGGTGTCACCGAGCGGTGGTACAGCCTGCGGGTGACTGGTGAGTCCGTAGTGAGCAGGGGAAGGACCACGGCTGTCTGAGAGCTGGGTGCTCCCCCCAGCATCTCTTGTGCTTGTGTGGGGCCAATGGGGCCATCCCAGACCTTGGGATATGTCCCTGGAAGATGGTGACATTTAGCCCCTGTTCTTGGCCCTCTTTGCAATTCCAGCCATGCAATCCCCTGTGTCCATTCCAAATAATGCCCCAGAAAATCATGGCCTCATGGATGGGTGCTGTCTGGTCTGCACCCTGGTGCTCCTGGTGACATTTCTCTGTCCCCTCCCAGTGCCCCCGCGGATCACAGCTGCACCCAGCCCCATCAGGGTGGTGACAAATGAGTCGGTGACACTGGAGTGCAATGCCACAGGGACCCCAGCTCCAGTGCTGCTGTGGCTGAAGGATGGCAACCCCGTGCCCAGCACGGTGGCGGGTGGCCCCCAGGTGAGACAGCTCCTGATGGAGGGGGGCTCGCTGGGCACGTGTCTCCAGGAAGATGCTCCTTTTCCTTGTCCTGGCTTTTTAAAAAAACCACAAACCAAACAATAGCTGGAGCTGAGCAGATGCACGTTGCCCAAACCTGCCCCATGTTTGGTCCCTGGGAGCACGGACCTGCTCATCCCTGTGCTGTGTTTTCATGAGGGGCAGGGGTGGGTGAGGGTCCCCATGATGTGACAAGCAGGGGCTCAAGGCATCAAGGCAGGTTTATGCCCACCCATCCCTGTGCCCGTGTGCTGGCTTGCAGCCCAGCTTCCTGCAAGTTTCTCTGGTTTCGTGCTCATCTGGGCTCTTTCTGGGGGGGCACAGATCCTCGCCGGTGGGCGCACACTGTCCCTGCCTGCCGCCCGCCTCCAGGACTCGGGGACATACGTGTGTGTAGCCAGCAGTGCCGTGGGGGAGGACAGGTGGGAGGCCACCCTCGAGGTGCGGTGTAAGTACCCCCATGCACCCCCAGCCCCTTCTCACCAGCATGGCTGGGGGGCTGGGGGTGATGCTCGGGACCGTGGGGCTGCTCCGCTGTCCCCTTGCAAGTGCACAGGGCTGTGGGGGACCAAAGGGGTGGCTTGGGGAGGGTGTTGCCCTTCTGATCTGTTTTCCAGTGCCTCTCAATGCCCTGGGCGAGGAGGAGAACGTCTCTGTCATTGTCAACCAGCCGGTGACCCTGGAGTGCCCAGCCCTGGGGGTCCTCCCTCGGGGGTCCCGCTGGCTGAAGGATGGGAAATCGCTCATACCAAAGCTGGGTGTGCAGCTGTCTGCAGAGGGGACCGTGCTCCAGGTGATGTTTTGGAGTATTGCAGAGGATGGGAGGGGAAATGGGGCTGTGAAGACCCCCACCTCCCCCTCCCCACCCTTGGGAGAGAGTGGCTGCAGAGGGAGGGACCCCTGCAGCCCACGGCTCAGCACCATTCCCACCCCTCATGCTCATCCCATCCCCATGGCTTCTGCTGGCACAAATCCCCCATGGAGGGGCTGCATGGGTCCAGCTCTGCCCCAGAGCATCTCAGTGTCTCTGCTTGTTCCGGCAGATCGGGCGAGCCACCGTGCAGGATGCGGGCAGGTACACGTGCCAGGCGCCCGGCCACCCGGAGAAACACTACAACCTGGACGTGTGGGGTAAGGGCTGCTGCGGCTGAGACAGCCCACCGAGGGCAATACAGTGTGCATAGATATATGCACACACACATATATATATATATACACACTACACCATTTGTTTATGTGTATAATACGTACCTGGGCTAGTTGTCTGGCTTGGAAAACACTAAGCCCAAAATATTAAGGTTCCACAAAACGATGCAGCTGGAGGTGTCAGGGAATCCCCACCAGAATGGGTGTCAGAGGAGAAGAAGCCAGTGTTTGTAGGAGTCTTGCTTTGGGGGGATTTCGGTGATGAAGCAGAAAAGGTGTTTTTCCAAAATGCGGGCATGAGAGCAAAGGGATTCCTTTGCCAGGGCTTCCCTGTCCTTTCCTTGCACTCAGTGCTGCTGGCATCGTCCCCTTTCCCTCCCTGCCCGAGTCGGGAGGATGCCAGTGGTGGTTCCCGGGCTGCTGCCAGGATGGGCATTGGACACTTTCACTCTCTCGATTCAAGCATCCCTGCAGCCTCCCAGCCCATTCGGCACGTCCGCAGCGCCGGGGGCTGAGCCAGAACCTGGCTTTTCTCAGGGATGCTCGAGGCCAGTTGGTGGAAGTCCTGCAGGCAGGTGGCCAGGGAGTGGAGAAAATCCAGTTCTCCTGATCCGGGCTTGTTCCTGCGATCCCTTCCCGGGGAAACGTTTGCACGTCTGGCGTCCTGGCTCGGGTGGATTGTTTGGGTTCTGCTGTTTTTGTTTTTCAAGGGTTTCTGGGTGTTGGGGTTTTTCTTCTAGAAACTGATATCCCTCATGGGAAGGAGTTACCGTTTTCCAGCCAGCTGTATTTATGAGCAACAGAGAACAGCATCCGATAATGGAAAGAGTTAGGTAACCTTCCCGGCAAGCTGTGCTGCCTCATAAGGCTGCATCTGGCCAACCTGGGCTTGACCTGCCTACGCGGGATGCTCGGCCATCCTCTGCTGTAGGGCACGTGCGGGGTGCTCGGCCATCCTCTGCTGTAGGGCACGTGTAATTAAAAGCATCGCTCGCTTAGTAGCTGGAGAGTCAGGATTATTATTTCCACACGGAGCCAGTGCAGGGGAGGCTCCGTAGCTCTTTGTGTGGAGCCCAGCAGAGCTGCGGGTGGTGTGTAGGCAGCAGAATGGAGCTCTGGCAGGGAGCTGCCCCTCTCCCCTTCTCTAGTGCCACCATCAAGCTGCTCCTCTCCTCTCACCCCTGCAGTGCCTCCATCCTTCTCCTCGGCAGAGCCCGCCGCCGTGTCCGTGCTGGAGGGACAGCCCATCAGGCTGGCCTGCGAGTGCCGCGGGGTCCCCTTCCCCACCCTGAGCTGGCAGAAGGATGGTAGGGTCCTGGTCCCCAGCATTGTCCCTCCCCACCCATGCTGACCCACCAGACAGATGCTGGCCTCCTTGGAGCAAGGAGTGCTCTGTGTTGAGCGGTATCCAGCTTCTGGGTGGGCACTGGTCCTGCTGGGAACCTGAGAGGAGGCTGCTGTCCCCGTCCCTGGCAGGGGGCCTGGGAGCCCGCAGCTGGTGTCCGCGGGAGGGACGGTGCTGTACATGGAGAAGGCTCGGCTGGCGGACAAGGGGACATACACCTGCGAGTGAAGGACCGCCGCCGGCAGCAGCAGCAAGGAGCATCGTCTGGAGGTGCATGGTGAGCTGGGGGAGGCAGAGGACCTCGGGGGGTGCCTGAAGGTGCCATGATCTCTCTCAATACAGGGTCCAGCTGGACCCAAAAGCTCACAGCCATTCTCTGCTGTCTTGGGGGGTTGGGGAAAGGATGCTGCTGGCTGGGCTGGCTTTGTTCCTCCAGCTTTCCTCTTGGCTCCAGGCTGGCTGCAGCTGGTTTTCACTCCAGCAGCCCAATTGTGCTAATTGCCCTCGCTCAAATCTGCTTTGCCCTCCTGCTGTCATTGTCCAGACCGATGGCGTTTGTCCATCCATTTCCATACGGCCAAGGGAGTTGCAACAGCATCACCCCCACCCCGTGTCCCTCTGCCTGCAGCACTGCCGAGGATCCAGGGCAGCAGCAAAGCCCCAAGGAAGGTTTCTGTCATCAAGGGCGGAGAGACTGTTTTGGACTGTGAGACCTTGGGGACACCATCGCCCGCAGTGACATGGATGAAGGATGGGCAGCCAGTGGCCGGTGGGGACGGGCTTCTGCTTACGGAGCAGGGAAGGCGGCTGCGCATCCCCAAGGCGGAGGTGGCCCACGTGGGACACTATACGTGCCTGGTGACAAACGCAGCAGGGCAGGAACAGAGAGAGTTTGACGTCACGGTGTATGGTAGGGGTGCGGGACAGGGCTGGCTGTGCGGGGTGCAGGCAGGCTCGGGATGGTGGTGATGTTGCACGGCATGAACGTGGAGAACAAGACGATCTGGAGGTCTTGGACAGCCTAGCACATAGAAGATCTTGGGTCAGAAGGGGGATGATCCAGCATAGCTGTAGATCTGGCTCCATCAGGCAGGAGTTTCTTTTCAGGGTCATCAGAGCAGACCATCTTGCACTTCATAAATCCTCTGCTTTCTAAGGACTTCGGGAAGCCTCATGGTCCAAGGTACCAAGCACTTGAGCTGCAAATGCCTGATGTGGCTCAGGGCATGTAGCCAGCTTGGTGTCACACCCGTGAGAGTGGGCTTGGGGGCACAGGTAAGTGACACTTACTGTAAGTCACCTGTCCTGTAACACCTTCAAAGTCGACAGCTTCAGGTGACGCTTGTAGTCCTTCTGGGCTCATGTCCTCAAGCACAAGCAGGAGGACGGGAACAAGCCAGGTTTACTCAGTTTCCCCCTTTGCCTTCCTCCTTTGATGTCTTGGCTGCTTTGCAAATGGATGTCCACCCTTTTCTCTCTCCCCAGTTCCTCCTGAGTTCGTTCAAGGATCAAGCTCAACAACCAACGTCAGCGTGTCTCTGCATGGAGCCCTGACGCTGACCTGTGAGGCCACTGGCGTTCCCCTGCCCACGGTCACCTGGTCCCGGGGTGGCTCTCCTGTCATCCCCAGCGAGAACACACGCGTGCTTTCAGGTCAGGGACAAGGCATGGGTACTGTGAGATGAGCGTTTCGGGAACACGTTTTGCTCCTATGCTGATGGGTTTAAAGGCAGCGGAGCGCCAGCCCTGCTGGGATGGGCTGGTGCCTGGATCAGGGCTCTGAGACATCTCTGCTCCATGCTTCCAGGGGGCTGGGTGCTGAGGCTCACCCGTGCACGAGCCCAGGATGGTGGCCACTATTCCTGCCTGGCCAGCAATGCAGCTGGGGAGGCCAGGAGGCATTTCCACGTGGAGGTCCTAGGTAAGGAGGGGTCCTCCATCCACTGCAGGATTCCTGGTGGGGTTTCAGAGCCTCACCCTTGCAGGGACAGTCATGAGTTAAGGCTGGACCTGGTGGGAGCTGCAGTGCTGGAGTCCTTTGTGCCTCAGCATGTGAGCTTGGAGGCTTGGCGAAGCTGGCCAGCTGCTGAGGTCCCTGGTGCCTTGTGTTCCTAGTTCCTCCCTACATTGAGAATGCAGATGAAGAAGAGACCATCAAAGTGCCCGAGGGTCAGCCTGTCACCTGGTCCTGCCTGGCTGCAGGTGAGCATCATGCAAGGAATGGCGGGGGCGTGAGCAGGTGGGAGATGGGGCGCAGGGTTCTGAGTCTCCCTTTGGGGTGTGGAGCAAATGGACAATGCTAGTCGATGACATGAAAATAGCTGAAATTGTCTGAAGAGATTTTTTGGGATAGTTCCTGGCTTTGCAGTTGTGCTGTCCGGGAAGCGCTGGGCCCATATGGGGAGCTTGTTCCATGACATAAGCTCCAATCTTTCCCAAATGGAGCTAAAATTCCTCTAATCTGGTTTCTCCTTTAGTGATGGGAGTAATTAATCACCTCCTACTCAGGACAGTTTTCTTTTTTCTTGCTGGCTCATCCAGCAGTCTCCAAAAACCTGATCCAGATCATGATAACTTTGGATTTGGGCTGATGTCCCTGCTTCCCAGAAAAGCTCCAGCGCAGTGACCCTGGTGAGGCTGTACACACGCATGGAAAATCTTCACACGAAGGCCAAAACCTGCTTTCCATCCTGTACAGGCAACCCCCAGCCTCAGGTCACCTGGCTGAAGGACAGCCACCCTCTGCCTGGCAGGGACACCTTCTCCATCTCCCCCAATGGCTCCATGCTCCATGTCCCCCGAGCCGCCCTGTCCGATGCTGGCCGCTACTCCTGCGTGGCCTCCAGCTCCATGGGGAACCAAACCAAGCACTACCTGCTCGATGTTTTGGGTATGAGATACCTTTGGATGGAGGCAGAGTCTCAGGCATGAGCAGGGGATGTGGGCTTTCTATTTGCCTGCCCCAGCTGGGTGCTGAGGATCCCTTACCCCACAGCCAGCAGCATGGCATCATGTCTCGGACCTGCCAGAAAGCCCTCGTGAGACCTCTCAGATAGGCATAAAGCACCCATCCAGTGCAGGACCCATCTCTGGTGGTGGCTGGTGGGAACGGGGAGTGTGTCTTCTGTGTCCCCTGGGGTTTTGGAGGCAGCAGCACAAGGCAGAGTGTGAAGCTGGGCTTGAGCTGTACGTGCATCCTACATGCTGTGGTCAAGTCTAACCCCCTGAACTCAAGTCATGCTCTATGGTGGGGGAATGAAGCACTGGGTGGCAAGCCCAAGTGGGCGCTAACTCTGATCGGCCATCAAACATGTCTCTGCAGCCAGTCCTACCTTTGCTGGAGACGCTCATGATGCTGCTGCAGAGGAAGTCACAGTGATCGTCAACAACCCCATCTCCCTGATCTGTGAGGCTCTGGCATACTCGTCTCCCAACGTCACCTGGCTCAAGGATGAGGTTCCCCTCAAAGCATCTGGAAATGTCCACCTGCTCCCTGGTACTGTGCCAGTGTCGGTGGGCTCTGTACAATCATACACTCATAGAATGGTTTGGGTTGGAAGGGACCTTCAAGATCATCTGGTTCTAACTCCTCTGCCATGGGCAGGGACACCTTCTAGTAGCCCAGGAATCCAATCCAGAATACCAGCCATGGTGTCCCCTTGCTGCCTGCCCAGGGGAGTGGGAACGGGGCCTTTTCAGGGTCTGACTGTGGTCCAGGGCAGTGGGGCTGTGAGAAGTCATCATCCTGCAAGACCTGGGGGGCTCAGGACATCAGGTGGGTGCTGCTCTTCCATGTGCTGCATTGTCTGATAATAGCTAGGGCCTCCTGGGCAGCACCAGTGAGACAGCACTGGTTTCTGTAAGCCTGGAAACTGGGCTCTAGAAGATCACCTGTAAGTGATCAGCAGGTCCCTTAAGATGCCCTCTTGTGCTACCTGGGGATAGACAGCCGTGGTCTGTGAGCGATGACTGTCTCAGGAGACCCCCTTTGCCCAGGTGGCCATGGGCTGCAGATCCTGAATGCCCAGGAAGAGGACGCGGGCACATACAGCTGCATCGTGGCTAATGAAGCTGGGGAGGCCATGAAGAATTACGCCGTGAAGGTCTTGGGTGCGAGAACTCTCTATACCCTTCCTAATTCCTGCAGCGACCCGACCGTTGCAGCTGGGCCAATGCCCCTTCCTTCCCTCCCATGCCTCCACCCTGGGAGTTGCACCTCTTGCAGCTGGTGCTTGGTCACACCTATACTGGCATGTGGCCCCAAAAAGCCTCTAGTCTACCCTGGGGGGGGGGCAAAGGGGTCTGTCTGAGGGTGTCAGCAGCACCCCAAGGTGCTGTGTGTTGCTGATTAGGGCAGAGCAAGAGCTTTGGGGGCTCTTCTCTCATCCCAGCTGCGTCGTCTCTCCCCACCAGTTCCTCCGTGGATTGCCAGAGACGACCCCTTGGGGGAATTTGCCATGAAAGAGGTGAAAACCAGGGTCAACAGCACCGTGACACTGGAGTGCGAGACCTGGGCTGTGCCCGAGCCAACCATCCAGTGGTACAAGGACAAGCAGGTGAGGAGGAGCTGCCACCAGGGAGGAGCTGCTGGTTTTGGGGACCCTCCCAGGGGCATGGAGGGGCAAGACACCCTTCATATGGCTGTCTGGGCTCCATCCCACCCCTGCATGTGTAATCCTTCTCTTGCCCTTCTGTTTCTTCTGTGCCGTGGGGCTGGGGTCCCCATGCAGCCCCTGGAAAGCTCTGGCCACCTCCAGATCCTCAGCGAGGGGCAGGTCCTTCAGATCCAACCAGCCGGTGTCTCTGATTCGGGACACTACACCTGCGTGGCCAGCAATGCTGTGGGCGAGGACGACAGGGACTTCATCGTGCATGTCCAAGGTGAGCCCTGGGCAGCCAGCCAGTGCCTGGAGCAGCAGGGGTCTCAGCAAGAGGAGGGGTCCTCGGTGGTGTCCCCTGTGGGTTTGTATCTGCTGGAACACAAGTGTCTCCTTGGCCCCGGTCAGGTCTGAGCAGATGCTCTAGTTGCACCTGGAGGTGTGAGTCCTTGTTCCTCACAGCTGACCCCAGCCTGTCCCCACAGTGCCACCCCTCTTCCAGCAGCAAACAAGCCCTAATGAAGTCCTCGAGCTCTTCTACCAGGAGGAAGATTGGGATGGGGAGGTGACGGAGCACCGGCAGGCTGTCCTCGGCCAGTCCACTGCGCTCTACTGTGACACCAACGCCATCCCACCACCCCGGCTCACCTGGTACAAGGATGGGGAGCCCCTCTCCCCTGGCCCGGGGGTGCTGATGCTGCTAGGTAATGGGCAGGGACCCTTGGTGTGGGGTTTGGGAGGGGTTTCTGTGGGCCAAGAGCATCCATAGCATGGGAGGGTTGGATCCTGTCCCCTTGCTCCTGCTGGAGTGTGCAGCACCCATGGGACCTGCCGGAGCAGGACCATGTCACCGGGGCTGCACAGGGATTTGGGCATAGTGAGGTGGGGGGGAGGTTGGAGGAGACCCCTGACCCCTCACAGAGCCCTCCCTGTCCCCTGCCCTCCCCTGCCCTGTGCCGCAGGGGGCCGGGTGCTGCAGCTGCCCGTGGTCCGGGAGCAGGATGCGGGCAGGTACACCTGTGAGGCGGCCAACGCAGCGGGACAGGACCGGCTGCACTATGAGCTGGAGGTGCTGGGTGAGCATGGGCATGGGGCTGGGGGGGGGATGGAGGCATGGGGCAGCCCCGTAACCCCCTGCTTCCAGCTGCCCCAGCCATCCACGGTGACACAGAAGACCTGGACGAGGAGGTGACGGCCACTGTCAATGACACTGTTAGCTTCAAATGTGAAGCCACTGGGCACCCAGTGCCCGTGGTGTCCTGGTTCTGGAATGATGTCCCCGTTGCGCTCAGCCCACGGCATCAGCTCCTGGAAGATGGCACCATCCTGCAGGTTGGCATCCCCTGGGCAGGGTGGCTGTGCTGGGGGACGTTGGACACACCACGGAGAGGGGACAGGGCACCCTTCCCTCCATGAGGAGGGGACTGTCCCACTCCTGCGGAGTGCCAGGGTCCCTGCAGGAGCTCCAGCAGATCCCTGGCTCAGCCCTCAGCAGGGTCTGCTCCCCCTTTGCAGGTGGCCGCGGTGGAGGCAGGTGACACTGGCAGCTACACATGCGTGGCCGAGAACATGGCCGGGTCAGCTGAGAAGCATTTTTCCCTCGCCGTGCAGGGTAAGGCATCCCACCGACACTTCCCTCGGTCGTTCATTGACCTTCCTCCTCCTCCTCTGTCAACCGCACTCTCCCATGGTTCTGGAACTGCATGGCTGCCCCTGTCCCCCTGTGCTTGTCACCCTCACCCTGTGTAAGGAGGTTGAGGTGCTGACCTGCTCTGAGCAGGTGGGATGCTCGGTGCACGTTTCCCCTGGGAAGCCCTGCGGAGAGCTCAGCCTCTGCGGTGACAGTCCCCCTCTGTCACTGTTTTTTGGGATGTGCTGGAGCAGAAGCTCCCCAGATCTTGGGTGCAGACCCTGAAAATATCGACGGCATCATCAATGGCAGCGTCTCGCTGGTGTGCGACGTCCGATCCCACCCTGCGGCGGAGATCGCCTGGTACAAGGATGGGCACGTCCTGCAGCTTGGCGAGGAGGTGACTGTCACCCCAGGTATGTCAGGACGAGCAAGGACGACAGCCTGTCCCCCAGGGCTTGGCACAACCACTGGCTCTCTGTGGAGGGTCTAACTCCCCTAACCCTCTCGTCCGGGTGCCGCATGAGGGACAGGCCATCCCCCCCAGCCTTTTTGGCTGTAACCACATGCTAATAACTTGCTGCCAAGTGATTTCTGCTGGGAAGGACCGGGGGCTGCATCCTGCAAA